TAAATTAGTTAAGATTTAATATAATTTTTAAATATTGGATAAATTAGCAACAAAAAAAATAATGTATACAAATTACATAATACAAAAAAATTAAAAAAAGAAAAAAAAAAGAAAAAAAAAGACCCTCAAATCGCATAACCTTAACTTGTTGGGTCTCAAATTCCAATAAAATTTTAAAAATAATGAATAAATAAACTTCTTAAGACCACTTGTCATATATCAAAATTTCATGTTGGATGAAGTGGTGTGATACTTAAATCGCATTTTTCTCAAACAAATTTGCCATGTCAAATTTTATCACGCCTCATGTCGCGCTAGCTTGAGAGCTTACATCTTTTTTCGGATAATTCCAAATTAAGGTGGTTTTAAAAAAATAATGACTATTTGAGATTTTGAGGGAGGCTTCGAAAGTATTTTCTTAATTAAGAGTCTTAAGATTTTAAATAATTCTAAATTAGTAGCTTTGTAATACTAGTTTTACCTCTTTTTGTCAAATTAATTTACCCAAGTTGCTTACTCTTCTCTACCCGGGCTTTCCTTTCTGCAATTTTTTTTTTTTTCCTGGCAGCATGTTTTAGATCTGTAAAAGACACGTCAAGGCCACCAAAAGTGAGCTCCTGTAATTTACAGCACTTCTCTTCCCCTCCAGCACAAATCTCGCCAGATATTTTATTATTTCCTGCTCGAATCCAGTATTGGTTTTAGTCACTGACCACCCCTTTCCTCTCAACCCCTTTTATAATTCTAGTGTTTGGAAGATTCAATCACTGGTTACCAGTGAGGATGTTGCCGGTGAGAATGGTGTAAAAAATGGGGTAAGATGACTGCACTGCACAGGGTAGGGAGGATTAAGCAATTTGGCAGAAGGCAAAAAAGCATGCCAAATTGGGGAAGTTAAATTAAAATAATGGGCAAAATTGAAATCACCTGGTACTAAATTAAGATTATTCAATATTTTAGGACTTTTAGAGAAATGTTTTTGAAATTACCTCCCTTAAATGGTCCTTATTTTTATAAAACCACCCTTACTTGGAATTATCCTTTATTCTTTTAGCTCGAGATCATACCTTTTCCTTTTCTTATGGTTAGAATTTATAGATATGTTCATATACTTTATTCATACGACAATTTAAACGGACATTTATATCATTTTTCTTGGCAACACTTTAATGTTGATGCAACATTTATTTTGTCGGACTAAGAAAAATTTAGGATTGCGATCTGAAAACAAATAATGTCTAAAAAAAACAAAATAATGTCTAAAATTCTTGTGGACATTTTCAATATTGATGGTGAAGTTTTAAGAAAAACAAGTTGCCTTGGTCATAGTATGTCCCAGGCATGGGCATCTTATTCATGTGGAAGTGTGATCACAACAAATCATTCAGAACTAGTGTTCCCCATGCTGGGAAGAAGAGAAAAAGGACAACCAACGTTAATAAATTAATGAATACATCCATCAAAATTTTGATGCTTTCTCAGAGATTTGGGGTCCCCCAAAAGATGGGTTTCCTCACAGGTAAGGGTCAATATATATAATTGCTCTCATTTCTAGGGCAGCTTCCTCTCTAGAGCCCCACAAATAATTGGCATCCCGAAATTATCTTTGCTAGGGGAGGGCACTTTGTTTTTTTTTTTTTTTTGCTTTACCTGCAATATTCCCCTAGATTTTCTTTGAAAAAGTAAAGAGACTTCTGTATTGTTCCTATAGAATCCCCAATGTGTGTTTGTTTTATCAATTCTTGCATGGAAGTTGTAGTTGTATCTTCAATAATAATATAATTATAATATCATTTAATATTGTAAATTTATAATTATAATATGTTATAAATAAATAGATATATATATAATATTATAAATGAGTTTATAAACGAAGACAATCAATTATATATTAACATATTATAACTTACAAATGTCACATTTTCATTGTATTTTTTAAGTCACTTCCAAAATGGGGTAAAGATCTTATGATATCCAATAAATTAAGAAGTGATAGTAAGATTTGGTAGATGAAGATGTCTATGGAAGTTAGGAACATACTAGAAAATGCAACAAAATAAATCCTTTTCGAGTCTCGATTCCATGCTTGTGTCATTTCTTTCTATAAAATATCACTTATGATATCAACAAAGCTCAATTATTGCTGGAAGCTATAAGAACAACTCTTAATGGTCAATTCTGATATAACTGTTACACTTTGATGCGTGTTATAAAATAGGAAATAATTTTAACCATTAATTAGACTGTACTTCAAGCAAAGATATAATGGTCTTTGATAAAATATTGAAAAAGATGTGAGCCCTACCATCTTAAATAGTGAAATCCTAGGGCAGGCTTCTTTGTATCATTTTCAAATTCCATGTTTTTCCCAAGCCAAAAAGTCATTGATCCCTCCCGCCGGTTAGGAAAAAGTTAAAATTAAAGTCTACACTGAGTTTGACAATTCAAAACTGAAATTAATTTCATTACCTCCCAACAACCAACTACGTATTAGATGGATTTGAGTTTGAAATTCAGGGATCATAAATATGCATACTTTCCCCATGCTGTCTTCAGGATTTGTGTCTGAATACTTAATTATCAATGGTTCCGTGTGTATTACACCTAAAAACCTACATGACAGGATGGTTTTTTTTGTCTTAGGAGAATAGAGACAATTACAAGACGTATACAAATCAAAATCATTACATTTATGTTCTTTTCTATTAGTAGCTCCGTTCAATTTTAATAATTTTAATTTAATTTTTTTTATTTTTTAAATATAAATTTCATATAAAAATTTAATATATTATATAAATTATTAATAATTAAATTTTTTTTAATCAAATAAATATACTCAATAAAAACTACATATAGAAAAGTATGGGTTTTCAAATTAATATATTATGTAATAAATATATTTTTTGTCATAATTTTATATTAAAAAAATCCTTCTCAATTGCTTTAACTTTGTTTTTGTTTTTTTTTTAAATATATATAATATTAAATTAAAATATATATTAAATATATTTTTATATATTTTTATGATATTAAAAAGTAAAAAACCTACCATTGCAATTACAAGATAACACTCCCAAACTAAATCTTAAAATCTTGATTATCATGATGAAATCAATCATAAGCTTGGTTTAGAAATACAAAAATACCGAATGCTTATTCTATAATAATTTAGTTAAAATTGCTAATCGTACTTTCAAAGCACTATACCAGATTAACGTTATATAATTCTTTTTCTACTCTGATCCTATATTTGTATGTTGACCAAATGATGAGTTTAAAATGTATATATATAGAACAAGTTGGACTTAATTGCTTCTATTAATAATCCTATATTTCTAAGATGACCGAATGATGACTCAAAAACAGTAGCACAAGTTGATCTAATCCTATATTTCCAAATAAATCCCAAACCGCTTACTCCCAAAAAAAAAAAAACAAAAAACAAAAAATCTTTCATAGGTTTTTCCTTTATTAAAAAACTAAAATAGAAATCATAAATCCGAATTGATACTTAATAAGTCCTTGAAACAAAATTATTTCTAAAGGTGACCGAATGATGGACTGTAGAAGATAACTGAATAAAGAGTGTCAAGTAAAAGGGAATCTTTCTTCTATAGTTAAATTACATTAAATTATAAAATATAAATCATTAATTAGATAAAAAAAGGTTTTTAATATTATGGGGTTCACTCCCACCTAATCATTATGTAGTATAGTTTGGACTATAATACACTTTTTCACAAGTAAAATATCTATCTAATATTTATTTATATAAAAAATATATTTTACAATTTAAACTATTCAAAATTATAAAATACTGACCTTTTGATAGGAAAGGATCTCTAATATTGAGAGTCTTCCTCTTATAGGATTTTTGTTTTATAATTTAAACACTAAAATGGTGCTCCTTCATTTATAAACAATTAATGATGATTTTTGTTCTGATTTTTTTTTATTTTTTCAAATTAATACAATTAAAAAGATAAAATCAACATTACTAAAATTTAAATTTTAAATTTATAAAGGGAAAACCATATGTTAAGCCCTTGAACTAACCCCAGATTAGCTATTGAGCCCCCAAACTTTGATTAATACATATAAACCCTTAAACTTCATTTTTTGAGCAATTTAACCTTTAATTCTTTAGCTACCATAAAAATAAGGGTTAAATTACAATAATAATGAGAACTAAATTACTCAAATCACGAAATTTAGGGACTCATATGCATTAATTAAAATTTAAGAACTCAATAACTTATCTAAAATTAGTTCAACAGGTTAACATATAGTTTTATCATTTATAAATAGCATCACTTTTTTTTCAAGAGAGCTATGGTCATACCAGCACTCTTCTCAAAGAGCTGTGGACATTGGGGACAATGGTAGTTGGGGAGTTTTGTTTTTATTAGAATTACATGGATCAGAAATTGGAGGGAAAGAGTTGCAATTGAAATATTATGATTAATTAATGTCATAAGGAATAACGGTACATTGTGGACATCCAAATATTCCATTGAATAATCAAAGTATTTATATTTCATCAGATCATGTTCGATCTGAGTCATTGATTATTTTCCAAGACATCAAAATCAAACTCATCAAAATGTATGTGTGTATATATATCAGGTTACATCACGTGCCTGGTTCAATTTCTAATTCTTCATAGCCGACAATTGTACTTGATTAAATAAAAAAAAAATGTTGTGAGTGTGATACGTACCAACGTATTTTGTACATGTTACATGGAAATAATTACTTTGTCAATTAATTCGTGCTAACATATTTCGAGGCAGTTGAAAATATCTGCGTTATAAACACACGTTTTAGTTGATTTTTACTACTCCCTCTAATTTAACTTTAATTATTTTAATTTAATTCTTTTTAATTTTTAAATATTAATTTAAAATAAAATTTGACTAACTACATAAATCACAATTAAAAATTTTCTCTCTTTCTATATGTATTTTTTCTGAGTAATTTCATCTTAAAAAATTTTTAATTATCATTTATATATGAAAAAGATGTATTTTAATACAAATTATATTTTTTTTTTATAGTTTGCGAACTAAAGTTATTAAGATACTATTAATAAATAAGTATAGACAGCAGTTCTATTAAGATTGCTTTAGTAATTTGCGTACTTGAATTATACAAAAACATATAATTTGTAGTAAAAAATATTATTATTTATATATTATGTTAAATTTTTATCTAAAAAATAATATGTAACTAATAAAAATGTCCTTTAAAAAATAATAGTTTTTTTAATAATCAAATTTGTAAGCTTCTAATTCTTTTGTGAAATTACATGATTAATTTTTTCATTTAAAAATCTATTCATAATATTTTATATATTAACTTATTTATTAAGATATTAAAATTATAAATTTATAATTTTACATAATATTATAATTAAAT